AAAAAAAAAAAAAAATACAACATGAACTGGAGGTAAATACTTACAGTTGTCTGACTGGAAATCGGGGACAAACTGCTCATCGTCAGGCACCTGGGCTGTAAAACAAAGAAATAAAAAAATAAAAGCACATAGTTAGTGGCACCTGGGCTGTAAAACAAAATAAAAAAATAAAAGCACATAGTTAGAAACTGCATCAGAAATAACTCCACGTGCCTTTTTGTAACCATGTGTAAAAACAACTAAATTAAATATTGTTAAAGTCAAGATGGCACTAAAGCTCCTTTAAAGGTAGAAAACAAAAAAGGTTTGTGGTCAGCAGTTTCACATAAACAGGACTTTGCTCTTCTCGCTCCAATTGCTAACGGAAAAATACCATCGGATGACATTCCTGGGTTAATCTGTCATCTCAGGTCATGCCCAACGTCAGGATGTTAACGTCCAGAAACATAGATAAAACTCAACTCGACTTGAAAGCATTAAAGACTAGAGATCTAGTAGCAAAACTCATTGTTGTTGTTAGCTTGAATTTGGAAATGATTCCAAGAGGAAGACCAAAACATCGATCTTACCTTCTGCAATCCAGATCTCCTGTAGCTGACTGAGGTCTTGGAAGAGTTCTGCAAGAACAGAAAAAAATCAAGAATCATCCCCTGAAAATATATACAGTACCATATCTACCAGAAATAAAAAAAATGTAAAAAAAATACTAGCGATATTAGCGACATTACCCTCTGTGTCCTGCGCTAGTTCAGTGTCAACAAATTTCCTTTTCCGCTCGTTAAGAGTCCTGTGGTTCGTCGACTCCTTCACACCTGAGTTGTGCTGTAGTAGAGACGAGGGGAAAAGAAAAAGGTCAGATGTCAAGAATATTGGCCCATGTTGTCATCCGCTTACTCATCCGTCCATACTCTCAAGCCACGGGCTGAGGAATACGGCCATGGAATGGGCAAGGCTAACATGTTTGTGTTGTCCACTTACACTGGGAGGAACCATAAATGGGACTTGCTGGTCGTAGAATCCATCCATGGCGTCTGGCGTTGTTTTTGCAGAGGGGGTTCAGATATTAGGGGAGGGGGAGGTGCTCGCTTTAAAGCGACAGCGCCTGTGTCACTGTAGCGATCACTGGAGGAGATAAGACCAGGACAGGATTTATGAGTATGTCTAATATCACGGAGTTCACATTAGGGCACAGCAAAAAAAAAAAAAAAAAAAAAAAAAAAAAAAAAAATTGTAATTGGAAAACAAAAATGCCATTTTGAAATCTCGGAGTTGATCAACATTTCAAATCGTTCCGTACGACGTTGATCGCTGCTCATCTCGGAGTCTTCTTTGCCAAAAACCTTACTTGTCTACCCCAAGGTGATTCAACTTAAAACGCAACCGTGCCTTCTCTTTTCAACATTTCATGCACAAAAACCCAAAGTACTTGAAGTACTCCGGTTGAATGCAGCCCTAAAACCCCACAGAGTTCCCCGTCTCCAGCTCTAGATCGACAGCTCAGTTATCAAATTATTGTTGTTGTTCTAGGTCATTACTTAGAAAATCCCAGTTTCACCGCGCCGCCAGTCCGTTTGCTGCACGCCGTGTTCCTGCACTGAGGGCTCCATCACACAGGCCTTTATTTATTTAACCAACAAACGGCTCTTTGAACCCAGCCACGGCTCAGCGGTGAGCGAGAGGAAAGCGTAAACACACACGCACGCACGCACGCACACACACACACACTCAGAGCCATTACAAAACACATGTAACAGGGTTATATAAGCTCCACTCACAGCCATCTGTGAGCACTACTTTCCACTGTAATCAGCTTGAAGATGTTGAGCTAAAGACTTCGGAAACCATTCCAGCTCGTCCTCCAGAGGACGCATCACATGCAAAAAGCCTCGCAAACGAGGGAGAATAAGCAGGACTGACCGCAGAAAATCAAATCAGCCACGGAAGGCCAAAAAAAAAAAACCAACCCAAAACTTGTGTTACAGTTGGACTTGTGCGTGTTGGAATAGAGTATCTGCTCCCCATGTGGGCCACCTGATTAGGCCAGAAAAACCAGGGTCAGAGTTAAAGAAAAAACAAAACAAAAAGAGCCTTTAAAAACAACACTATCCAGACACCAGAGCTGCCCTGCATTCTCACATCACTCCTCGACTGAGTGATATGACTCACTGCTCCATACCCACTTAATGGATGACGAATAAAGAAGTGACTGCAGGGCATTATTTACTGGAGTCCGAGAGAAGACAGAGTACACAAGATCAAATTGGTACAGCACGATAATGTAGAACAACAGCGTCTCCGGGGCTCCTGCATCGCACATACAGTGCTCTACAGAAAGTTGACGGAAAGTGCCTTTAATTCAATGTACATTTTGAAAAAGAGTTAAAAGTTATCCGTACCTCAAAACAGGAGTAGAAACTCAGAACTAGACACAAGTACTTTGAGTTTCTACCTCAAAAAGCAAAGAGATAATATAACATTCAGTTCAGTCTATTCCCAAAAAATATTCATTATTAATTGTAGCAGCTAGCTAGGTAGAATAAATGTTTAAAATGAACTAATCGTCAATATTTGTTTTATTCCTATCATATCTCTTAAAAGTAAACCGACTGCATGTTAAAACTATTTAATAATGTATATATAATTTTATAAATATATCAATTCCCATTTTTAATGGGGTCTTTTATAATAATTAGATTTTAAATTTCAAACAAGTTTTTATTAGATTGAACAAAATGCATCCAGAAAGGTTTTTAAAACGACAAAGTCAAAGTTTTTTATTTTTTAGAATTTTCATAAATTGAATATCTAACATTTCAGTACATTAAACAGTAGTTTGGGTAGGTGAGTAAATGATAGTAAAAACAAAATAAAGCCGGACAACTTTTTTTTTGAGTAGCAATTCTGACTAAAAAAGTTTTCTCATTAAAAAAAATCCCACATGCATATTACTTTTTTTTTTTTTAAACAGTTCTGGAATCATGTTTCGGGGGAAAGTGGCTTTATTTAAAATATGAAAATCCTTTAGTCACCGCCATATTTATTCAAATACTTTGGTCTTGTAACAACCAGATTGTTATCTGTTAATCTTTGGATTGTTGGTGGAGGAAATTCATTCACACTCCTCCTCCTCCTCCTCCACCACCTCCTCCTCTTCCTCTGAGCCCCTCCCCCTCCCACCCCTCCCTTGTTTTTCTCAATGAAGTGAAATTCGATCCGTGTGGAAACAGAGGGAGGAAAAAAAGGTCGGTCCATTCATAAAAAAGAAAATCACAAACAGTCCTGATAACGCGAAGCCACGTCTACGTATATAACTTATCGTCTACTCACACGCGCGCGCGCGCACACACGTACGCAGGAAGCACACACCGCGAGTCCAAACAAACATTCGCCACAAACCAGCCTGCTTAAACGCAGATACGAAATAAAATGGTCGCCAAAGTAAATATGTTTAAATAAAATGGCGCATCTCCGAGAAC